CTTTATTGAATTTATATAATACAAGTTTTTATAGAACAAGTTTTTATCATACGAGACAATACATTTATAGAATAATGTAATTTAAAATAGAAACTTTATATAATACAAGTTTTTACAATATATTTAAAATATATATTTATTTACAAAATATTGATTAAAAAAAAAAAAAAAAACTCTTTCTGTATTTCGTCAGAAAAATTAAATTCCACAGTAAATACATTAAAACCTAAAAAAACTAAAGAAAAACCAGTGCGAAAATATGGAAGGAAACCCTTCCTCAAGTGCAAGTAGAGTTACTCGTAACAGGACAGGTATGGGTAAACACCAAGAGTCTCTTAACAAAAGAGCAAGACATGACCCACTTAAGAAGGACAAACCCTTAAGGTCTGGCTCCACTTTAGAAAACATTAAAGTGAAGGTGTCAACAAGCAAACAAAAACAAACTGAGCAAACAAAAGAAATGGAAGTTGAAATTGTCTTAATTGAAACTGGAGAAAACTCGATACTTGACGAACAACAACAATATGTAAATAATCAAATAGCAGAAGAAAAACAACAATTTTTGACAGTAAAATATAATAAAGGTAAAAGGAACTTAAGATATGAAAGTGACGAAGAAAGTAGCAGAATTCAAGAAAATAGAAATGAGGGAAACATGGATGAAGACAACGGAGAAGACGACACTCAATCAATTCATTTAAGTTATAGTAATATTTCAGAACACCCAATTTGGAGACAAAATCTCGGACTTAAAAGATATAAAGCAAGAGCATTGGTAAAAGATTTTTTAGGAAAAAGTATTGGACAAAATTAGCTTGGATTACTAAAGAATTAAAAGGAAAAGTAGAATATACTTTCATTAAAGTAGAATATAGGAAAAAAACTAAAGGCAGTTACATTGCAATTTATTTTAATAAAAAGGAGGAACTTAAAAAAGCTCTAGACCTTGAATTTATCAATGGGGACAAAGAAAAATTCAAATTGGAAGAAAAGTCACTCAATATGTGTGCAACTAATGCAAACAACATGCAGAGACACGCAATAATCTGGAATTTATCTGTTAGTATAAAAAAAAATGAACTTAAAACAGAATTGGAACACAGATATGGTAAAGTGGAATCGATCAGCACTGTACTTGGAGAAATGTGGCAAAAAGCATATGTTACATTTGTAGATCCAGAAGATGCTAGAAATTTTATCAAATCATGGTCACAAATTATTGGTGAAGATATTGTTAGGGTAACACTACCAGGTGTAACAACTTTGCAATTGAAAGAAAGAGAAGAACATGCTGTCAGGACTCTGGGTATTCCTCCGGGAATGACTCTAGCAGAATTATATAATGAATTCAAAAAAATAGGTGCTATGACTTGTTACGTTCCTAGAAATACCTTTTATGCGAGAAAAAGGATGGCTATTTTATCATTTGAATCAAATGAAATAAAAACAGGTGCTATAGGTTATAAATGGGAAACAGAAGACTTTACTGTCGAACTAATAGATATGAATGTAAAAGCATGTCACAGATGTTATGATATTACACATTTAGCAAAAGATTGTCCAGTCACTCAAAAAACGAATGAAAGAAACATAGCCTTATAACAAAGAATGGATAAATTTGAAAAAGTATGGAAACGACATAACCCGTCAGCGTACAACAGAATTCAAAAAAGATTGGATCCTTCATATGCGGGAGTACTAAAAACTAACAATAACACGTCTCATCAACAAGCTAGACACATCAACAAAGAAACAAATATTCAACAAATAGACTTATTCACTACTCAACTAACAAGTCTGCAACAAACGATGGAAAATGCTATAGAATTATTAAACAACTTAACTTAAAGAATGGAACGTATAGAACGACACTTAGAAATTATAAATACCGATGATATTATGGAAGAATCTGAAAACAAAATTCAGAACAATAACAATTATAATAATGATAATTATAATAATAATGACTGGAACACCAACACTTTCAACAATAACAATAACAATTCAAGAAATGTAACTCATGATGATAATATCAATGCAGGAAGCTCAAATAATGATAATACTAGACAACCCAAAAATTGGACGCAAATAATATCTACCCAATTGTCTACTATCACGCAACAGATTCAATCAATTTCGACACGACAAGATAACATAGACAAGAAAATGGGAAGTGTTCCGTCTTCTCAATAAATTCCCTACTCTATAATTTTAATTAATGATGATGGAATACGAACAACTATCATCTAGTAATAATTCAATAAATTCTACAGATAGCAAGGATACTAATAATAATAATAATCATAACAATAATAATAATCGTAATAATATCAATAATAACAATAATAATAATAATCATAATAATGATAACAATAATAATAATATTAGAATAAATAATAATGATGAGAATAATCAAAAAATAATATGGAAAATAGGTACGCAAAATACCAGGGGTTTGAGAGACATAGTAAAATAAAATACGTGGTGGAACTATTGTATTGAAGAAAACTTCGACGTAGTCCTATTAACAAAACAAAAACAACCAAAGAGACGGAAAAATTTATATTTTTCGAACAAAACCAAATATCCAACTCACAAGATCCATTATATAATATTTGGTGGTCATCAACAACAGAAGCTTATAATAATAATATTGGATCTGGAGTCAGCCTTATGATAAAATCAAATATAGCTAAACACACATATAAAATAGATAAATTCGAAGGACATGGCATATGTATTTTTTTATCGTTTAAAGGAAGGGTAGTTTTTCAAATTATCAGAATCTATACACCAAACAAATATTCGTCAAATAATATCATATTAAGAAAACTAAAACCTTGGTTATATAATCACATTTCACAAGCCTTATCAAACAATTGGATCTCAATAATCATGGGAGACTGGAATGCCACTCCTAACCCAAGTAAAGATAGATTCCCTGTAAAAATTAAAACATCACCAGAAAGTAACTTATTCCAATCAATTATTTGAAGTAGATATACAGACACATATAGACATTATAATGGAGATAAACAGGAATATACTTTTTATCAAATTTTTAAGGAAGAAATTAGAAGTAAAAGTCATATTGACTCAATTTGAATACATCAATCAAATGAGGAACTTATTATAGATGCGAATATAGACTATACAACTTTGATAGCAAATAACGATCATTATTGTGCACACGTGACATTAGACGTAAGTAAATATTGTGATGGTACTAGTTATAAGAAATATAAAAGGGTAAACTACAGAACTCCTCGACTTTGGAATTTGAAAATAGCGGATAAAGAAAATTGGGAGAAATTCACATAGGAAACAGAAGATACTTGGGAAAAACAACTGCAATCGGGAACAAACTTAGAATTAGTTGAAGATATATGACAAAAAATCAAATCCACGATAATAAAAGTAGGAAACAAAAATTTACCAAAAGCTAAGGAACTAAGAAATCGTACAACTATTATATAGCAAAAACACTCGAAATATTCTATATTAAATATATTAAACAAGTTATATCGATTAGGCAGTAAAATAGAAAGTACAAACAATATGAATGTGCAAAAATTAGAAACTATAGAGACAATGAAAAATAAACTAACAAACAAATACGAATTAAATATTCAATCTTTTCCCTCAGCAGGATTACCAAAAGAAAAATTGGAATGGGTCAATAATATAAAAAAATTATGGATAACCATAAGAAAACTAATTAAACGAGAATTAATAAGAAAAAAGAAAAAAGAAATCAAACATAAGATCGAATTACGTCAAGAATTTCTAAACACTAAATCAAAACACATGATTGACAAAGTCTTAGATAGAGACTCTCGACAGATTTTATTAGACCGAATCATAAACACGCAAGAGGATGGAACAACACAAATAATCACAGATCCAATACAAATTAAAGATAAA